GGATTTCGACGCTGATAAGCTAACTTACTCAACTAAACGTCCTTATTCAATCTTTTGTTTTCCATACATATATATACATATTTCTCCCCACTATATATCTTGGTTTTTGGAAGTCCTTAAGTGAAAAACCCAACACCACGACAAGGTTTATCAAGGATTTACCAGACTTATATAATATTGGTTTTTAAACTTTCAAATACGATAAGACCTTCAATAGTTTTTTTATAAACTTGGAACATATGTTATATAACGTATGATTTTATTTCTGGTCCCAAAAAAGTGATTCCTTAGGGACTAATTCTGGATTGATCCGGAATTTTAACTAGAGCTGTTTTCAAACATACCATACATGCATGAAAGGATGTCAAATTACTTGCCCGGAAGGATGATGCTTAGAATAATTATAAGGAACATAATGAGAATCATAAAACAATTATAATTGCAGTGGCTGCAATTAATGTAAACTACTTGGAGCAAGACAAATACTTCCAGGAATTTAAAGATAGTATGAAATCTATAATTTTAATATATTGGAAAACTGCAGCTTATAAATTGGATGCATATATTAAGCATCTAGGATGCAGACTTCAATAACTACTAGCAACTGTCTAGATATCATAAAAGTCATAATAAAAAAGCACATAAAAATTGCAATTGACGAATAATAAAAAAAGGATCTCACACAAAACATACAGTGCAAATGTCTGAAAATTAGAAAAAATTTCACGTTATGTTAAAAACAAGTTTGCAGCTATCTGATACATATGTTCACAAAAGGCACTAGCAACGGGTAAAAGTTAAGACTTTTAAAAGAAACTGAAATTTTTTTTCTGAAGTTTCAGACTACAACTACAACATAAAAAGATGAAAAACAAGTTGAAAATTCAGATGTTCATTACATGAACATTTTGCTTCCTCTTTACGATCAGCAATAAAATTTGCTTCCTCGTGGAGTTAGCAAAATTTTATTGCCAAAATGTGAATTTTTGATTTTTTAACTTTCATTAATTCTTTAAATTTACATCAAATGTATACTTTATAAATATCGATCGATTCGTCTTGACGTAAGGAATAAAATTATTTCATATATGAACTTCAATTTAAAAAATCACAAAATTGTATTGCCAAAATGAGAATTTTTTATTTTTTAACTTTCATTAATTCTTTAAATTTACCTCAAATGTAAACTTTATATATATCGATCGATTCGTCTTGACGTAAGGAATACAATTTTATTATATATAACCTTAAATTTTTCTATTTAAAAATTTTTTCGATTAAAAAAAAATTTTTGGAAAAAAGACGATAAAATTTTTTTTTTGGGTATTTTTTAAAATCCATTGGTCAGATTTGAGATATTAATATGATAAATGATCCTACCAAATTTTATCTAAATCCATTAAAACCTGTTAAAGTTATCTTCTAAACAAAAAAGGGATCCACACACACACATACATACATCCGGACAATTGATCAGGATCTCATATAACATGTTTCTATAAAGAAAAAAATTTGTTTCCGACACTTTGAAAAGTTTTATAAACGAAAGGACTACAAAGCTTCCTCCACGAGGAAGCAAAATTAAAACATATACAATTAGATTAAATTAATTTCCTTTTGTCACATCTGTATAAGAAAACAAAGCTTAATAACTTATCTTATTTCTCCATATGCAGCATATCACAGTAAACTTGGTTGTATCTTTTTTTATTGCAACGTTTTCATGAACATAAGTTATATCGAAAAGAGATCGTTTTGTGTATCATTTTTATAAATGATACACGAAACGGTCTCATTTTTTGATGCAAAAAATTTAATCAATTTATATCAATCATGGCCGAATTGAATCGACTCAAAATTAAACGAATTTTTTTTCAGATATTTTGGTAATAGTACAATTGCGGAGACCATTTCACTATTTAATTTGAAAATGAAAATAACAGAAAATCAAAGACAATGTGTAATTCGATAATTAAAAAGTGACAGCTTATAAACATAACCTAAAATGCATGAGAAAAAATTCGTCGATAAAATCAATATAGCCGAGCTTTTTAGAAGGTAGATGGCAGCACTCATCTATTTTCTTTTTTTTTAATTTTTTCTGAATCGTTTTTATAAAAAGCAAAACTGCCATCTACCTTCTAAAAAGTTCGGCTACACGGAAAGAAATTTTCTGTAGAATTTACAGAAACTCCTGCGCCATCTACTGATGTTTCTCCAAATAGAGAAATTTGTAGAATCATTGGCATTAAAATCTGTTAATTCTACAAGTTTGAGCTACAGTTCTTAAAAACTGTTGAGTGACCAAATTATGTATACTATATGGGGCTAATATATACTTGGTAGAGTATTTCTTATAAGTTATATTCTCCTCCGAATACATTAAATTCGCGGAACATTATTGTATAAATTAGTATAACTTCTATGTAAATAAATTCATCCTTCAATAATTTTCTAACAAAAAAAATGAGGAGCAAGTTTTCAAAACTTATGATAAATCCACTTTTTCTTATGTCGAGAAATTGAAACAAACGACTTTTCTCACTTAATCACTACAGTTAATTTTAAAATAAAAAATTTGTAATAATTTATTTCTATAATAATGTTTATATACTTAAGACGTTTCCTTTTTAATTAAACTTTCTTGCCGACACTATGATAATAATAAAAACACTAAATTCGCCTTAATCTCTCGCACTCAATCGTACTCAGCCTAAGTCGAATCACTGCATTGTTTTCGCGCATGCGTTAAATCCTTACAGAAAATATCTGTAGAATTAACAGATTTAGGAACATGTAAAATCTCCAAATCGATGTTAAAGAATTACCAGAAAATTTTTTTCCGTGTATATTGATTTTATCGACAAATTTTTTCTCATGCATTTTAGGTTATGTTTATAAGCTGTCACTTTTTAATTATCGAATTGCACATTGTCTTTGATTTTCTGTTATTTTCATTTTCAAATTAAATAGTGAAATGGTCTCCGCAATTGTACTATTACCAAAATATCTGAAAAAAATTCTGAGTCGATTCAATTCGGCCATGATTGATATAAATTGATTAAATTTTTTGCATCAAAAAATGAGACCGTTTCGTGTATCACTTATAAAAATGATACACAAAACGATCTCTTTTTGATATAACTTATGTGCATCAAAACGTTGCAAAGATTTGATGCAATTTTTGGTCTCAATTTGATACTTTTAGGAAAACTATGATACTTTACTTAAGTATTAATAAAGTCGTTAGAAATAATATACTTTTGCTTGACTCATTTTATTGTTTTATGTATCAAAAATTAAAATACTATAAATACTTGCAACAATTTATAACAGAAATGTTGCTATACTTACTGTTATTATTACATTTTCAAACTATTCGTATCTATTTAGATAAATTTTCATGAAATGATAAAAAATCTCCATGAATTCCGTTTTGCAAAAAATATGCAAGGTAAAATTTTATTTAAATTCATAATATTAGATTTAGTTATAAGAAGAAAAAAAGCAAATGAAGGATGTATATGTCGTAGAGAAATAGAAGAATCCATCAATAAGTCTATTTCCTAGACAGTATAGGAACATTCATCTATTTACCAAGAGAGTAAGCCTAGTGATGCACGTCAAACCGATAATTGCTCAACATCGTTCGAATGTTTTCGGTTCGAACACACTTCATGTTGTCGAAATTTTTGATACTTCATTGTTTTTATCGTCTCGGTTGGTTCGACAGAAATCGAATGTCATGAATACTAATATCACGTTTATCACAATATTGATTATCAATAAATATAATATCGGTGCTTATGATTTTTAGACATTATATCCGAAGACGAGCAACAAAAATGAAGATTTTTTGTTTTCAAGATGCGGAAAAAAGTCAATCAGGATAAAAAATAATATAAATATTATAATAATAATAAATGAATATAAATTTAAATATAACTGTTATATGTAGATAATAAAAAAGCATTTTTTAATAGGTTTACGAATTAAAACTATTAGTAATATTTTGTTTAATAAAAAATAAGTAAATATTTAGTATTATTTTTTTACTTTAGACGAAATTCAATATCGATAAATACTTAAAGTTGACAGGTGATATTTATATGTTTATTTATGAATTAAAAATTTGTCTTTATAAAAAGTTTCTACATTTTTTGCTAGAGCAGGATAGGGTAATTGACGAGAATTATGAAAAATGGCGAGTGAGGACAATGGAAACCAACCACGAAGTCAAAATTATCACTAGTGCACGGAAAAAAAAAACTAACTATTTTAGCACCAAACTGCTTTATCCTTTATCAGTATATAATTTCGTTTACCTATTAAAGTATGAAATAATGCTTTTTTAGTTTAAAGTAAGTCCATACTAAATAAGTATAATGGTTATACTCTTATAGTAATAGTGACGTACATTAAAAGCATAAAATTGATGCCCGCGAAGTACGACATATAGTCTACCTAAAATAGCAAGAGCTTCTTCCTTTTTGGTGGATAAATTCTTGCAACCTGCGTTTTGGCCTATATCGATATATCGACATATCGATGGTTGGAAAGGGAGGGAGGCGTGGCCAAAACGCAGGTTGCAAGTATTTATCCACCAAAAAGGAATAAGCTCTTGCTATTTTAGGTAGACTATATGTCGTACTTTGCGGGCATCAATTTTATGCTTTTAATGTACGTCACTATTACTATAAGAGTATAACCATTATACTTATTTAGTATGAACTTACTTTAAACTAAAAAAGCATTATTTCATACTTTAATAGGTAAACGAAATTGTATACTAATAAAGGATAAAGCAGTTTGGTGCTAAAATAGTTAATTTGTTTTTTCCGTGTGTGAGTCTTGAGACTCAAAAAGGTTTACAAGTTAAACCTAATTTTATGAAATTAATTTTTTCCCGATCGAAAAAAGTTCGATACAACGGCAACTCAAGCTGAGTTTATATATTAAATAACAAAATACAAATACAAAAGCTTCATATTAAAATTTACCTTATTTTATCTTCTCGCGTCAATTCAGTCTCGCTCTGAAACAATAATATACATTTTTTAATCAAATATAATTAAAGAAACAATAAACGATGAATAGTTTATAAAATCAACTAAATAAGAGAGAATTAAAAAAGAATTTTTTAAGGCCTAAGCACAATTGAGTCGAGGACTTAAGACGGATACAGAATAAGTAACATTTGCATACACTTTGAGGTTAGGAGGCCCATATCCCGTATTCGTTTCACGTAGCCGACTCTATTGTGCTTAATACTTTACAAACAATAATAATGGTTTTAATCAGGGTTGGGAACATTAAGCTGGCACCACAAGTTAAATGTTTTTAAATATCTCCTGTGTCAGAATTTAGGTCTCAATTAAGGCTAATCACCGCCAAAAGTAAAAAAATCTACCATGCCATAAGTTAGGGCTCATTTAGGGTTTTCAAATGGACATAGAAAGAATTTAAAAACAACTGAAAAAATCAAAAACAATCTACTTCATTTTTTTTCTTTCAAAAAGGGGTTGGTGCTACCTTAATTTTAAGTTGACACAACTCACTTCAAAAGCCAAATAAAAAATCAGATTTTTAAAATTCAACTTTGCCATAATTTAGGGCTCATTTAAGGCTTTCAAGCGAACGTAGAAAGAATTTTAAAAAAAAAACTTCACAATCAGAAGAACACTACTTCATATACCTTAACTTTAAGCTTACACAACTCACTTCAAAAACCAAATAAATAATTAGATATTTAAAATTGTATTTGCCATAATTTAGGGCTCATTTAGGGCTTTCAAATCAACACACCAAAAATTATAAAAAAAAATTCAAAATAAAAAAAACTGCTTCATATATTTTTTTTAAAAAAAAGGGTTAGTGCTACCTTAACTTTTAGCTTACACAACTCACTTCAAAAATCAAATAAAAAATCAGATTTTTAACAAATTTTAATTAATAAATTAAACATTATTTAAATATTTAATACTTTATAATTTATGTTATCTAATATAATTACCAAAAATCCTTTAATTATAATTACTTTAGTTTGTATGGACGTGAAACATTACTTTGACATTTGTTTCATTCATGTCAATGGATAATTTTAGTGAAATATGTATTTTTATACAAATGTTGATTTTACATATTCGTTAAATAGTTTTGAAAACATGATTCTAGAGCACTATTTAAATTTTTTTATATGACAAATTCGATTAAACAACCTATTTCAAAGATCTATAGCATGATTTACCAAAAAGATAAATTGTGATAAAATAAACAAGAATTTTAAAAAACATTCATGTACAAATATTATTGAAATTAGGGGAAAAGTCGGCCACAGTAAGAAACTAAACAAAATTACATTACTTTTCTTTTATACTTGTCTTTAATCTACAAAATGTGAAAAAAGAAATATTCCTTCCAAATTACAACGAAAACAACAGGAAAAAAGTATAATTTGGATAATTTTGTCAAAAAATATGAAAAATGAATTTTAACCTTAATGTACTCGAGCTTAGACATTCATATAATGCAAAATGCTATTAAATATTTCTTTAATCGTTATTAGATATTCATTTTGACTTTTTCACATCCACTACTTCCAAAAATTGACTTTACTTAATTATACTAACATTCTTGGTATGTCAATGACTATTTTTTAAATGATTGCCGATTTTACCCAAAAAGTCGGCGACAATAAAAGAGCGTATAAATATTTTTCTGAAAAATTAATACATTTTTTTATGTAGTAATATTAAAAAAGAGAATCGAAACTTTATATATTGAAAGTAACAAAGTTTCATTTTATGATTTTCTCATAGTTTTTTAAGAAAAACTTTAAAAAAATCGCTCACTTTATCTTATTTTACGGTATGATAAAGTTAAATTAATTTTACCTAATACTGTAAAGTTTGAACAATTTTTACCGTCTAGTTTTGAAAATATTTGTAATTAAATTAACATTGTGTCTTATAGAGTTAACCTCTCCAAACCTATAAATTTAATAATTTTCTTTTAACACTTGAAGTAAAGATATTGGGATGTCCGCTAGGGGCGTGGCTTAGCATTTTATCCTACGTTCAGTAGTACCATTTTTCACCACTATGTCTGAAAGTTACTCTGATGGGTTTAAACTGGACAAAAATTGACAAACATCCTACTTTCAAGGGTTAAAAAATTTTGCAACAGAGAGCGCTTCACAGTAACGGACATCCCAATATGATTTTTGGATAAATTAAATCTCCAAAATAATGTAAAAAATTTTTAAATGATACTTTACCGTCGATTAATATATGAAAAAGATTTTTAAAGTAAACTAAATAAATATTTCAGCAAAAGTTTCGTAAAACATGGCAACATTGCATTTTTTTAATTTAATGTAATTTGGCGCGAAATTTAAAAACTGATTATGTTCTAAAAATCATTAGTCAGACTTTTCATTTTATCGAATTTTATTTGTCATAATTAGTTTTGACCTGAATTTTTATTTGTTCGAATTAGTATTTTGTATAATTTTCATCAAAGAAAAAAAAATGCTATGCAATTAAATTCTACCTAATAAAAATTCTTTAAATTGCCTATTATGTTAAATGAAAATTCGAGCAATTAAAAATTCTGACAAACAAAAATTGGAAGAAATAAAAATTCTGTGAAGTAAATTTTCGGTTATATAAAAATTCTGTAATATAGGTAATTGGTTTGATGAAAATTATACAAAATACCAATTCGAACAAATAAAAATTCGGCCCAAAACTAATAATGACAAATAAAATTCGATAAAATGAAAATTCTGACTAATGATTTTTAGAATATAATCATGCGTCGTAAAAATTGTTACAGAAAAGCTTTAAATAAATTAATTTCTGACCCCATGTTTCTTATCTGATGTCATATCCGTGACAGTAAAACATAGGCAAAAGATTGCTGATTATACCACGCGATTCTAAAAAGGTTATTTATAATATTTCCACGTTTCTTCAAAATTTTTCTCGTTTTTTCAAATTTGGATAGAATCTATAATTATTAATGTATTCTTAGTTTTTCTTAGTGATAGTGTGTTTCACAGATAGCTAATACATATAAAATCGTTTAAATAATTGAGTCGCCGGAAAGTAAAACCACACATAAAATTCTGACGGCCATGTTAATTCAATGGGAGTCAGAATTTTATGTGTGGTTTTACTTCCCGGCGACTCAATTATAATTTATAATGATTTTAGTTTAAATGAATATTTGTGAGTCACCTGGAATAACAATTTTCTTTTGCCAATATCAAATTAATTTTACGATATTTATCCTAAATTCTTTGCATTTGTGACTTGTAGTTACCCAATCAGCACGAAAACTTGCAGCAAAATTGCAGGAAGTTTGTCGTGTAAGATGTGCAAGATTGCAGTGCAAACATATAGCAACAAAATGTCATCTTGTGGCAAGGTAGTTAAGCAAGCTTGCAGCGAACTTGCTACATGTTTGCACTACAATCTTGCACATCTTGCACGGCAAGCTTCTTGCAAGTTTGATGCAAGTTTTCGTGCTGATTGGGTACGTAAATATACTTCAAAATTAGTTATCTGATTTGATAGAAAAATATAACAACTTTCAGTAGATAAGATTTGATTGAGTTTCGTTCAAACTTTTTGATAAGAAATTTTTAGATTTTCCTACGGATAAAATTTGATAGAAAAAAATAAAAAAAATTAATAGAATAGTTAGATTTTTTAATAAACAGAATTTAATAGAAATATTTATTAAATACTTTCTTTTTTCGTATAAATTTTGAAAGAATTTTAATTTGAACCTTTTGATAATAAAGTATTACATTTTCATTTAGTATTAATTTTTATAGAAATTTTATCCAAACGCTTGATACGTACATATTGATTAAATTTTCGACTTCCTATTTAAAAAAAAAGAGGAATTTCAGTATTTGATAAATTTTGATTGAAATTTCAATTCTTAGATTATAGAAATTTTATTAAATTCAATACTTTTTAATACTTATTTTAAGCAGGGCAAAGCGGTCGAGATTGATTAAATAAAAAAATTTTTTAAACAAAACAAATTTTCTTTAAAGTACCTACCATTAAATTTTGATAAATCTTTCAATTACAAAGTATAAATCAGATTCGAACCTACTTTAAAAAAAAGAAATTTTTTTTTAGAATATGCCTACATTATAAAACAAGGGAAATAAATTTTGCAATTACAACAGTATAGAATTAAATAATTTTAAGGTTACAAATACACGATCATTCATATTTATAATAATTCGAGTAAAGATAATTTTTGTGAATTTATCCTTCTAAATGTTGATTATTTTCCTCATTTATTAAATATGTAAATTTATTCTCGATAAGACTTTTACAAAATCACTTAAAATTACTTTACTTTAATTGAAAATGATTTAATTGTTTCAAGTAAAATTACACAAAATTCTATAAAAAAAAAGAAGCAAATACAATGGTAGTTTATTTTTCTTATATCCACAATATGTAAGATTACTTTTATTTATTTGACAGATAATTTATTTTAAATTTTGAGGTTATTTGTAAAAGAAAGATTTTAGTAAATAAATTGTTTAAATTAAATTTTAAAACTAAAGCAGTAACAGAAATAATGCCTTTTACCTTATTTTGTAAGTTAGCTAAATCCATTATGAATTTTTAATTAATTTTACTCGTTCTGAATATTCGAGTGTTAAAAAAATAGGTGAATCGAAACCCCGGTTCTATATACATTCATCACATATAAATCACATAATATGTCAATGTCAATGACTTAATGTAAATAAGTTTGGTAACTCGTAAGCATAGATTGTATATTTTGTTGATAAACGTCAAAAGCAAGAAGCAACATTTGACGTGGCATTGTATGGCCCTCTAGTTGTTGGAATGCGTATTTCTATTGTAAGGTGATTCTACAACAACTTTTTTATTATGTCGCCTCGTAGGCTGCTTCTACAACAACTTTAGGCCACATGGAGCGGTTGAATTCATAGAGATAATATAAATAGAGTGGAGATGGTCTGTATAGAGGCGTCCGTTTGATAGAAAGAGAACGCGATTTTAGCACCAGTAGGTGTCTCTCTTGCGCTGGTGCTTATTGAAGGACAGATACTGGTGTTAAATCTTTCTTCTCTTTCCAACCCATTCTGTTTATGTCAGGACACTTCCCTCTTACGCAGCCGCCTATACCTTGTCTACTCTATTTATATTATCTCTATGGTTGAATTGGTTTCCATTGTTCCCACTCGACATTTGTCATAATTCTCGTCAACTACTGCTCCCTGCAGTAGTAAAAATTTAGGGATTTTATTGCTAAAATTAAAAGTTACTATAAAGTTACTTTCTACCAGAGCAGGGTGCGGTAGTTGACGAGAATTATGACAAATGGCGAGTGGGGACAATGGAAACTAAAGGTGCTTTTATACCTTCAGGCTGCAGTCCCATGGCAGCGTTTTGCGTTGCGTTTTGTCACTAGACCCTGAGTGTAAACATAGCAAACATATATCTGCATCTCTTTTAGGCTGCAGTCCCATGGCAGCGTTTTGCGTTGCGTTTTGTCACTAGACCATGAGTGTAAAAGAGATGCAGATATATGTTTGCTATGTTTACACTCAGGGTCTAGTGACAAAACGCAACGCAAAACGCTGCCATGGGACTGCAGCCTTACACTCATGGTCTAGTAACAAAACGCAACGCAAAACGCTGCCATGGGACTGCAGCCTCAGTATTTTGGTAAAGCAATCGGCTGGATTGAATTTTCACGGTTGTATCACTGAATTTGATTGGCTCTAACTAATATTCCATTTCCACCGTGAAAATTGAATATTATTAGAGCCAATCAAATTCAGTGATTCTCCGTGAAAATTCAATCCAGCCGATATAGCTTGACCAAAATACTAGAGGTATAAAAGCACCTTAAAGGCGCTTTTTTTGATTGGCTTTGTTATGGAAAATTTCTAAGAGAGCCAATCAAAATTGGTTAAAACTCTAATTTTCAAAGTATTGGGATTGGGAACGGTGGTCTAGTAACAATCTAGTAACTTTGACCCATTCTCTCCCTCCATTTTGTTTTTTCTACTCTTTCTAACCTATTAATTGAAGAGAGACAAAGAAAGAAAATGGAGGGAGAGAATGGGTCCCCACCAGATGGCGTATTGCAGTTTAGCCGATCCCAATCGGTGGTCTAGTAATAATCTTGTAACTTTAGACCGATCTCTCCCTCCATTTTGATTTTTCTCCTCTTTCTAACATGTTAATTGAAGAGAGACAAAGAAGGAAAATGGAGTAAGAGATCAGTCTCTCACCAGATGGTGTATTGTAGTTTAGCAGTTCCCAATTGCAATTAACTCAGAAAAATTACAATAAATTTTTATTTTGTGAATCATTAATAATAATAATAATCACAATAAACACTATTTGTGAATTATTAGTTATTCTTGTGAAATTTTGATAATAATCACAATAACCATTATTTGTGAATTATTAGTTATTTTTGTGAACTATTGATAATAATAATAATAAACATTATTTTGTGAATTATTAGTTATTTTTGTGAACTGTTAATAATAATTACAATAAACATTATTTGTGAATTATGAATTATTTTTGTGAATAATCTTTTAACAATTAAAGACAAATAATAATTATTTAATTGTTACAATAATTAATATTGTGAATCATTAAATAAATTGTTAATTTCCAAATAATAAACTGAATAAAATTGGTTTTTTACCCGAAAGGGGTTTTTCCAAATAAATAAGTGTTTATTTATTCAATATCCTACAATTCATTTATAATAAATACTAAAACATAAATTCAATTTTAATTTGAATTTAAATTCAGTACCCGCTTTTAAGCGGATGATAAAGTATAAGAATCAACCGCATTGGCTATATTTTATGGATATAACGGAAATATAGTCTCTAGAAATTTAGGACGTGACAGTCATCATTATTCATTGTTACGTATAAGAATTAGAGAAATAAGAACATGCTTTTTTCTCATTTTCATATGTTACCATATAGCTGAGCTGTGGCCGTATCCTGAAAGTTACGTTACGTTACGTACGCCAACGCAGAAAAGCTTCGCGAAAGAGATGCTTGCGTTACAAAAGGACAGATATAAATTTGTGTCCTTTTCTATCCTATGAATCAGATTCACGAACGGGTTAGTTTCCATTGTCGTCCTCACTAGTCAAATTCCCAATTCGCCATTTGTCATAATTCTCATCAACTACCGCACCCTGCTCTAGTAAAAATTTAGTAACTTTATGGTAACTTTTAATTTTAGCAATAAAATCTCTAAATTTTCACTACAGCAGGGAGCGGTAGTTGACGAGAATTATGACAAAATGGCGAACGGAGATAATCAACAATGGAAACCAACCGACTTTCGTGAAGCTATTGTGCTTTGGCCTTGACTGTACCCTGACAACTTGCAGTACTGTGACCGCTCCTTTACTAAGCAAAAATGACGCACGTATATCTTTATCTTTCTCATACTCACAGTCTAAAATACAAAAATACAACGCAAATATCAGCAAATAAAGTAACGCGTCACAATCTCATCATTATTTAATCTGTGGCTGAATTCAGTAGCACCTCTGGTGATTTCTAATAGAACTACATCTTTTTAGAGAACATGTTTTTTGTGGTACACAGGTTGGGACTTATAACTTAACATTTTTAATCACGTCCTCCTTTCTCTGTGTCATGGGCAAAATATCCCATTTCAATATAGTTGATGGATTATTTCCCAAAAGAAGTAAACTTGAAAATTAAACGAAATCAAGTTAAAAGTTATTGTTTGTTCAAAGCAGAATACCAATGTGTTCTTTGGTATTGCATTTCGTGAAATCGTGTGTGTAAAATATTAAACTATATATAGTTTAAATTAAAAGAAAATTAAATACAATTCATTATTTTGAATGTAAATTTACTCGTGTGCAAATTGATTCTTGACACTTTAAGTTTACATTAAACCTGTAACACGTGGATAGCTAAAATTGGACCTTTAAAAACCACTGCCTGGGTCTGAGTTTCAAGATTCTTTTTCTTTTTTTTTTTTGGGATCATCGAGTTGTATTTATTTTGATTGGAAAAAAATTCTTTTGCGGTATGTATAAAAGCAAAAATTACTTTTATTTATTTTATAAAATGTTTATATTTATATAAGTATAAATGTTTCTCTTTGGTTTAGTATAAAGTTTGTTATATTTATTTTCTTTTTTGTTTCTTTAGTAGACGATGTTTTTTTTACATCTGTTTAATTAAAATTGTCCGGTTTTTGTGTATTTTATTACACAATAAGTTGTTTAAGAAAACAAGAAAAGTATTTTTTTTTTTTTCTAACTTTTATTATATCTCTGCAAACTAAGTTCTATATATAGATATATAGATAAGTTTTGCATATTTATCTTTGGAACTTTTATTAAATTATAATTAACTAGTCAGGTTTCCACTACCAACTGTTGATGCAATTTCTAATCCGAGAATGTGACAGTATATATAAGGTTACCAGTCGTAATTAAAAGTAGAAATCTATAAAATAAGGTTGAATGATTTATTATGTATATAGTAACTAAATTGTACAATTTTTCTTGATTATATTCTTTTTATTTTATTTTACTAAAATAAATTCAACTATTTTGAAAAATTTTAAAGAACATAAAATATTTAGGCAAATAAATTCATTTTTCACTGTAGAATATATTTATTTTAAAATGTTAAAAAAAAAAGTTTGTAAAAAATCCAAAATTTGAATTTTTTTTTAAAGGTAAAAATAGTGACATCGGATTGTACGAATTTTTTTTAACTTTCTTTTTTAAATACAATTTTTTCGATTTATTTTACAAAATAATTTTAAACATCGTTTTCAAAAATGTGGAAAATTTAAGGTTACGAAATTGCGTCGTCAACATCTTAATTTTGATCAATAATATAACCAAAAAAAAAAAAAAAAAAAAAAAAAATAGAATTTGTTCGATAATATTATGGTAAAAAAACTTATAAATTTTTCGAGTTTTATATATAATATAAAAAGTATATTTTTAAAAAATACGTCATCAACTATTCTCAGATGATTTCCAGTGAATCACTTCTATTTTTTTTTTGAATCTAAAATTTTTCAAATTCTTAAAAATATTTCTCTTAGTTCAATTTTGAAATATTTTTTAGAATAAAATTTCTTGATACATTCAATTATTTTTGAAATTTTGAATCCAAAATGTCTGTGAAATTAATTATTTTCAATAATTTTAATGAAATTTTTCGAAAATAAAATGATTTAAAAACATTTTTCAAATAAAAGTTTTCTAAAATTCAGTTATTACCTAAAATTCTTGTAAAAAAAAAAAATTCATCAATTCAAATTTACAAAATTTTTAATTCAAAATCACCTGTAATTTGATTAATTGTATAAAAATTTTTGACTGTAATTATTCTAAAAATGAATTATTTTAAAAATTTCTATTTAAAATTCTTCGCCAAGTTAATTATTTTTAATAATTTAATTAAAGATTTTTTTAATATTCAATTATTGTCTGCAATTTGTTTAAAAAAATTTCAATTTAAAATCTCTTAGAATTAAATTATGTCTAAAAATCGAAATTTTTTTGTTAATTTTTTTTTTTTTAAATTAAAGAAGAATTTAAAACAATTTTTGTTCTAAATTTTCCCTTTTTCCATAAATTATCTTATTTTTAAAAACTAGCTGAACATTTTTTTTATCCATCCCTCATTCAAACTTTTACAAAATTCTGAATTTTTTTAAAAAAAATTTGCATTACTTCAAGCTTCGGATTATACGACTTTTTTTTTAGTTTTTTCTGTATTTTGTACATATTTTTCAGCACTCTTGTACGTGTGGTTACTTTTTGGAAAAATGTGCCCTTCAAAGGGTTAAACTAGATGCGACTTTTTCGACTTTTTTTTACATTTTTTTTTTTTTACTAAATACGTATTTTTTAGTATACAATGCTGATCTTCTTCAGATCTTCTTGATTTCAATTATTTAACAAATTTTTAACTAAAATTTTTCTCCAAATTAATTATTTTTAATAATTTTAATGAATTTCTTCACAAATTCAATTATCATAAATTATTTTTCAATTAACAATTTTATGAAATTCAACAATTGTTTACAATTTAAAAAAAAAAATTACCAAAAAATTTCAATTTAAAATCTTTTAAAATTTAATTATTTTTAAAATTTTCCATATAGAACTTTTTGAAATTTAATAATTTCAATTATAACTCTTCCGAAATTCAAATTATTTTTTGATTAATTTAAAAAATCTGAATTATAAATCTTTGAAATTTCAATTATTTTTAAAAAATGTTATTTAAAATTATTTGATAAATTATTATCAACTCAGTAAAATTTAATTATTGTCTGATGTTTAATAAAATATTTTAAATTTAATTATTTCTTAAAATTTCAACTATAACACTTCCAAAGTTCAATTATTTTTAATAATTTTAATATTTCTTTAAAAATTCAACTATTTAAAAAGTTTCAAATAAAAACTCTAAAAAACTCTAAAAATTATAATTATGTTCTGAAAATCATTAGCTAGAAATTTCATTTTGTGGAATTTCATTTGTCATAGGGTCAGTTGGGGTAAATGGGGACAAGAGGTTTTAGAGCTTAATTTACAGTTTTAAAATTAAGTTCAACGTCAATATTTTAACCTCAGTTCACCTGCAAGAGGTTTTGAGTATTGCCAAGCTTTTATCTTGACAATTGGCAGCAAGATAAAAAAAGTTATCGCTCAATGCATAAAAACTTGAAAATCAAAGTCAAACTGTTTCAGTATTTTGTCGAGCATTTCAAAGAAAACAGACTTAAAAATCATACCAAATTTTTTTCTTATTCCTTATGACTCCTATAACAGAAATTGACTTGAATTTTTGATTTTTGTCAATTTGGTTAATAATGACAAGCTATTTCCATTTACCCTGAGTTTTCAAATTTTTGGGGTAAATGGGGACAGCTTGTCATTATTAACCAAATTGACAAAAATCAAAAATTCAAGTGAATTTCTGTTATAGAAGTCATAAGGAATAAGAAAAAAATTTGGTATGATTTTTAAGTCTGTTTTTTTCAAATGCGAGACAAAATACTGAAATAAAAAAAATTAAAAAATTTCAATTGGTTCAACTATTATATATATACTACAAATTTTTTTTCAAGCTTTTTCATCCCTTAATACAGTAATATACTTAAGGAAACCTTTTTCTTAAAACTTTCTTAGAAACTATGCTGTCCCCATTTATCCCGAATTTTATGAAATTTTCTAAATTTTGGGGTAAATGGGGACAGTCAGTTTCATGCGTTTAAAGCTTATCTAAATTTTTTCTGCTGCATAAAATTAATCCTGGGAATGTAAATAACAACTTAAAAAAAATAAATCCGCAAATATTACCTTTTAAAGGAAGAAACTTACGTAATTTGTGAAAAATAGCGATTCTGTCCCCATTTATCGCAACTGATCCTAATTATTTTTAAGCTGAATATTTATTTGTTCAAATTAGTATTTTGCAGAATTTTCATCAAAACGATTTTCTTTATCGCAAAATTTTTATATAACCGAAAATTCACTTCACAGAATTTTTATTTGTTCGAATTTTTATTTGTCAGAATTTTCATTTTCTCAAATTTTTCTTTAACACAAAAGGCATTTTAAAGAATTTTTATTGGGTAGAATTTAAATGCATAGAATTTTCTTTCAGATGAATTTTCATTTGTTCGAATTATTATTTGATATAATTTCCATATAACCGATTTTTCATACCACAGAATTTTTACTTAACAGAAAAATCATTTAAAAGAATTTCTAATTGATAGAATTTTCATTTGTCCGAAATTGCAAATGGCCGAACAAACAATCGACAGAAAGATTTGGGTACGATTTTTAAAATCAACCAATCAAAAATTATACATAAAATTGTGATTGCTTGATTTTAAAAATCGCGCCGAAATTTTTATGTCGATTGTTTGTTCGGACATTTGCAATTTCGGACAAATGAAAATTCTATCAATTAGAAATTATATAAAATGATTTTTCGGTTAAATAAAAATTCTGTATTATGAAAAATCGGTTATATCGAAATTATATCGGATAATAATTCGAATAAATGAAAATTCATCTGAAAGAAAGTTCTATCCAATGAAATTCTATCCAATAAAAATTCTTTAAAATGCCTATTATGTTACATGAAAATTCGATCAAATAAAAATTCTAAAAAATTAAAAATTCTGTGAAATGAATTTTCGGTTATTTAAAAATTCTGTAATATAGAAAATCGTTTTGATGAAAATTCTAGAAAATACAAATCCCTTAAAATGAAAATTCTAACTAATGATTTTTAGAACATAATCATGCGTCCCGTAAGACAAATGTCTAAAAAAAAAAATTCTGACAACAATTCAATTTTAAAGTTTTTATTTGAAACTTTTTAAATAATTAAATTTTTAAAGAAATATTAAAATTATTAAAAATAATTGAACTTTGGAAGTGTTATAGTTGAAATTTTTAGAAATAATTAAATTTCAATAGATTTTGTTAAATTGTGAAGAGAAAACTTATTTAAAAAAAAATACGAAAAATATATTTTTCAAAAATTAAAAACAATGATTTAATCGATAAAACAATGTAAAAATTATTTGTTCAAAAAATATATTTTTAAAATTTTGAAAAAATGGTAAAAAAAAATTGTGTGGATATATTTGGAAATCCTTGTGTCTAATTTTAGACATTGATGACTGCAATAACAAAAATAAATTTGTTTTAATATTTTTCCATTGAAATGAATGTTACATACTTGAAAATGTAATTAAGTTTTACATATTTGAATGAAAAGTTTATTAAAAAAATTTTTAATTTATATTTTTTAAATAATAAACTCAAAAAAAAAAGATTGGTAAAATTTTTTCTTATTTAATTTTAAAATATAAAATAAAATATATACTACTTTTTCTTTTTTGAACTTTATGTTATAAACAATTTAATTGTTAAAAAGTAATAGAAAATCGATGAAGAGTAATATATTGTAAAACTTAAAAAATGTATAATGAAAGCATAAATTTATCTTATCTACTTTCAAAATAATATG